CTCCAGTGCTGCTGCTGCCCTGCAGATAGATACCAGTCTGCGTATTTGCACTGATCCTTTCTAGCCCTCTTTATTTGCCTTCCAGTAGGTGGTGGTGACTGCTCCTCCTCTGCCAGGAGCCTGGCCAGGAGCATCTCAAGCCACGCAGCAGGGCTAGACCCAGCTGCCAACATCTGCATCCACTTCCCGGCATCAGCCGCTGGTGTGGCCTCCTGGGTCCTTGCCAGCACTGCTGCAAATCCCAAACCCCAGGTCCCCACTCAGCACCTCTGTCCAGCGCTGATTTGTTTTCTTAACAAGGTTGAAAACCCTGGTGTCCATTCAGTTTCTGCCTCTCCAGGTACAGCACTATCCAGTTTAACCCCAAAACATATTCCCTAAATGAATATTTAATCACACAGAGCTCTGATGGGAAGGGACCAAATGTAAAAAAAGAAAATGGTTTGATTAATTTTGCCTCCTCTTCTCTTACAGTTGCTTTTACAGCCAGTTTTTCCCCAGCTCCTTCAAGGTTTCTCAGACCTTTTCTGCCTCAACAGATACCCCCAGAAAGCCAGACACGCTGTGACCTTCATTCTTTCTTTTTCTCACTTAGCCTGTGGCTTTATTTCCTCATTATTTAGGGTATTTATTTTCTGTCCCCATTTGCAAAGGTGCTTAAGCATTTGAGCAGGTCTGAAATACCCAAGCAGTCTGTAACCTTGCCTTCACCCTACTGCTCTGAGTACCATGGGGCCCATCCGGGATGGCAGCTGTTGAGGGTGGTCAAGTTCCAATTAATAAATTGCATTAATAAACTAATGTGCATCATGGTGTGACCCAGTGCACAGGATGCGATGGCAGGAGCTTTGCCAACATGGTTTATCTCCGCCAAGCCAAACCCCGGGTGCCATTTCTCAGCACTAACTCATTTGACCAGACAGTTTTTTCTCCCTTTGCCCTTTTCACTTTAAACTGTAAGGACCATGGATGCTGGCTTCAAAAGATGGGTTAACTTTTTTAAAATGGTCATTAGGGATATTAAGTGATTCTTCCCAGCATGGTCATGGTGTGACATTTTGTTTTTTTTGGTGAATGGAAACACATCTTCAGCAGATTTATTGCATAGTGAATGGCGCAGCCATGGCGCATGTCAGCCCTGTAAAATATTAAAATAACGGGTAGGGGATCGTTGTTAATCGGAATTTACTACACTACATAAAGGCATATTTACAGTCCCACCAGGGGACTATTAATTTGTTTGGGGATAAACAATTAATCTCCCTGGGAGTGGGAGCAGAAAATCTGACTTGGTTTTATGTCTTTTCCCAGCGTGGCAGAGGCAGGATAGCTCACAGCCCTGGGCTGCTGGGCTCCCCCGGGGGGGGGTCTCCTCTGCCACGGGTCTGTGATGCCTGGGGAGAGGCAGCCCACCGGGCAGCAAGGTCCCGCTTCTCCCTGGCCAGTTTTGCACTGGGAGCTGTGCTCTCTGCTGTGATGAGTGGGCTTTTTCCTGCCCCTGCCTGAGCTGGGCTCTCACAGACAGCCTCGATGCATCCCGTTTGTTAGCTCCCCCCGTCTATTTTTGGGTTTCAGCTTTTGCATCCTGTTTCCTGCATCCTCTCCTTTCTGCTCAAGATGCAACAGGCACAAACAGGGAGGAGAGAGGGAGGTGCTGTGCAGTGGGAAGGAGAAGGGGTTTGGCTGTTACTGTTTGGTACCTTTGCTCCATGGACTTCTTCAAACTTGAGCCTTATTATTTTTCTTCGGAAGCAGCTGTTTGATCTGCAGGTGCGACTCCAGTACAGGACAGGAGCACTTGAGATAATTCCCAGCCAAGGCCCTGGAAAGGTTATGACAAAGCAAAATTTCTGGTTTACAAGAGCATATCCAGTGTTTTGGCAGGTAACGCCAACATGTTAGGGAAAGAAGTTCGTGCCTTGTGTTCAAGCAGCTCTGGCCGTGGTGTACCAGTGTAACGTAGGAGCCAGACTTAAGACTGCCAGCTTGCAGCAGGGTCTCTTGCAATCTGGCCTGAAGCGCCTCGTGCGTTTCCCTATTGCCACCTATTTTGGGGCAGCTGTGCCACTGCCATCCCTTGTGCCCCACAGCAAATCTGCTCAGCTGCGTTACTCCTTCTGCCCCCAGAGCTGCCTGGCAGCCAGCCAGTGGCTCAGCATTTCTGGCCCACATGGCAGAAAACAAACCTCACCATTTACCTATGCCTTTTGCCCACATGAATTTTAATGCATTTATTGAAAATGAGACCTTAGTTCCCTTTACCAAGGCCTGACTGGATTTGGTTATTTTTTGGCCAACGCTGTGTGCATCAGGGTGCTGCCAGCCCCAGGACCCTGCAGTCTTGCTGCCGCCTGTATGAACCTTGATGGCAGGACCCGAACCAGACCCAACTCTTCTTTCAGTGTAACGCTCACCTGCACCCATCCTGTTTGTGCCTTTTTTCTTGGAGCTATGTCCTGAAAAATGTCTTTGCACCTTTCTGCAGGGATTAGCAGTCTGAGTAGCTCATAGGTTGTTTCCAGCAGGAGCTGCGAGTTTTTAGGGGATTTCCACTACCATAATTAAGAAGAACCGAGATCATTAAAAATAATATGCTTCACACGAAAGGAGAACCAGCCTGCTTCACAAGACCCCTTTCTGCTGAAAAATTCATCGCTCTAAATAATTAATGGTCCTCGCAAAGGAGGATGGTTTTGCATGTTGCCAGGTGGAAGGTGAAATTCAGATGCTGGGCAGAGTAATCCTTCTTTTTTTTTATTAGTCCATATTTCCTTGCCGTGCTGCTGCCCTGGGAGTGGTGGGGAGCAAGGGCTGCGGCCACTGTCCCCGTGGGGTTCTACGCTGGAAGGGTGTCTGTGCAATGGGGTTGCCCATCCCATCCCAAACCCCATGGATCCCTCCCGGAGTACGGATGGGGCAAGGGGCTGGTCCCTCATCTCTTTTGCCCTGAAGCAGCACTTATCTCTTTGGTTCTCGGTGGCTTGGAAGGCACCAGAGAGGAGCAGATACCCTGCTGAAACAGCCTCTCCATTTCTCTCAGTAGCTGTTTGCACAGCCGTGCCTTTTACATTGCATGTCAGGAATTAATTTATTGCCAGGACAGCATTTGCATTGCTTGTGCGGTGCATAAATAGGCTATAAATAAGATGCTGATTTCTAATCACTACACAACACTGGGGGAAGCGCTCGCACCAGGGTGTCAGGGCGGTGCCCATGCTCCCCTGGCCCATCCCTTGCCAGCCCCAGTGTGTCCCTTCTTGGAGTGGCTGCAACTTCTGGGCAGGACCATGCAGGCAGTGGCTCTGCCACCACAGCACCAGCCAGTCCAGCTGCTAAAAAACAGCTCAGCAGTAAATAACACAGGTAGATGTAGGGCAGTGCCAGACCCGTGGGGCAGCACCACTAGCGCTGGAGGGGGTTTTTTAGCTGCTTGGACCGCCCATAGCCATCACAGAGTAAACCCAATTCCTCTTCCTCCCCTCCAGCCTGCCTGTGGTTCCTGCAGCATAACTTTCATTTAGCAGATTATTTACTCCTCATTTGTAACCTCTTGGGTGAGGGGGGCCAAATGGAAACATGTATTGGGTTTGTTCCTATGGTAAACCATGGTTGCCCAAAAGCTCAACTATAGAGGGAAAAGTAAAAAAGGAAAATTGTGCATTTCTAACCAGAACGTCTTACCAGGGTGAGAGGGCCAGACAAGGGCAGGTGGAACGGGGATCTGAGCTCTTTAGGGCAGCCCCCCCCCCCATGTTATGAAAATGAGGCTTGTTAGAAAAATGGGGACAAGACCTGTCTTGCAGCTGGACTGCTTTAGGGAGCCAAGAGGCAGACATTACTGCAGGGTGACTCACCAAAGCCAGAAGCATTTCATGGAATTTGCTGTGAAATGTTGTGAAATGACAGGACTTGGCACGGCTGCCACAATGCCAGGACCGAGGTGCCCTCACATTGTTTGAAGGCTGCCACAAGCTGAGTGCTGGAGGAGGAGGCACCCATCATGGGTCCCCTCACCACCCTTGGCCATGCTATGCCCCTGGCTGGGCTGGCACATGTCCCCACCAGTACGGGGACCACCTCGCTGCCGGTGCCATCCTGTTGGCAGAGATGGAAATGTCACCTGCAATGGGGGCAGAAACAGCAACAGTGCAGCAATCAGGTACCCCTACCCAAGGGCAAGCTGGTTTTGCCATAAATTAGTGCTTTTCCCAGTTTTAGGTGCTGATGCAGTTTGCATCTTACTGCCAGAATATTAAATAGCAAAGCTGCTTCCACCCCGACCAGGTGACGGCGGGGGACAGGCTGCTGTGCTGGCCTCCCCTTTGACTGCCCCTCCGCACTGTGCCAGCCTCCAGTGAAAACACAGCCCACCAGGCACTCCTATAGCCTCCGGCACCCCAAAGCATGATCCCACAGCATGAGCTGGGTTCGAATACCAGCCCCAAACAACCCAATTTTGTTGCAAAAGAGGCTAAATCAAAGACATGGCCACTGCAGGGAAAAGCTGGTGGGGCTGCTGGAGGTGAGCTGGGCTAGCGGGTGAGAGCAGCCTGCTGTGTTGGCAGAGGCTGGCTGCAATGAAACCTGTGCAGCAGCAGGTTCCCCACTGTGGAGCATCATTGGCAAAATACCTTCTAATTGCCAGGCTCGCAGGGGTAGGCGCCGTCATGAGATATGTTTCAGCTCTCACTGGAGGCACTGACACGCGTTGCAGGCATCTAATGGCACTTGTGTTAGTGACGTAGCCCTTCATGCATGTAATACATTTGCTATTATCACCATAGCCCGAATGCTAATAACCCCTGGGACCAGGTGATGGGTGAACCATGGGCTCAGGACTTAACAGTGAACTTAAGCAACAGAAGGTGGAAGGGAAAAGGTGGGAGAAGCTGCCCATGATGGGGCTCCACTTCTCACTTCAAGAGGGAGAATTTGTGGGGAGGTGTCATGGGGACAGTGGTGGGGTATCACCTCACTGACAGCCCTGCATGTCCTTTCAGACGAGCGCCGTGCTGTGTGCGGGTGGCTGTGCCCTGCTGGCTCTCAGCTCGCTGCTGGCCATCGTCGCCGTCCTGCTGCCTGGTGGAGCCTGTGAGAGGCGAGTCTGCACCCTGGCTGGCTACATGCAGACAGCAGCAGGCAAGTGATGGGGACTTTGCTCTTTGGGGTGGAAAGATGGGGTTTCCTCGGTGTGCTGCCCAGCCATTCACAGCATCCTGGATCTCAGCAGCAAGAGGTGCTTGTAAACCCCAACCAATGCTGGGAGAAAAGGGAGCGGCCCTTTGCTTTAGCGATTGCCTCCTGCATCCATGCTTATAAAGTCTATTGAAACTCACCTCTGCCCAAATATGCAGGTCCGGCTCACTACCCCCTGCTCAGGGTGTTGTGTAGGGCAGGGGGCTGTGGCAAGCAGCAGAGACCAGGCTGTCTGCTGGCAGGGCACTGCTGTACCTCCTGGGGTCTAGTAGTTGCCTTCTGTGAAGTTTGCAGTCCCATTTGGGCCATCTTTGCAATTAAACCTCTGGAGGGTATTTCCATCTCTGAGCCTTACACCCAAGACAGGCTGTTGCCCACCCTGTCCCACATCTCCCCCTTGGCCTTCCTGGGTGGCCCACTTGATGCTACATTCTCTTATATTTCCAATGCAGTTGCTTATGTTTCTGCCTTTGAGAAGTGCTAATGCAGAGGGGAGGAGGCAGGCAGTTGGGGAAGGTCCATCCCCAACCTGTGCTCCCTGTGGAGGAACAAAGCCCACCTGAGACTGGTCTCCACTGTGGGGAGCCACGTCTCCAGGAGCTGAAGTGTTGGACTAAACCACCCCAACTGGACATGAGCCATGACAGGAGATTAAACCACCCGTTCATGTTTGTGCCAGAGAATAAACTCCTTTCCTTGGAGAAATCCTTAGGGCCAGCCAGGCTTCGTTATCTGCCTGGCAGCATTCAAGTGGCTTTTGGGGGAAATCCTGTTATGCGCTCTCCTCACCAGGGCTCATCCCACAGGAGCCGATTTGGGAACAGATGGAGGGGCCTAGCCTGTTAGCCACAGCTGTTCCAGCTCAGCCAGGCTGTGGGTCCACAGAGGCGGCTGCTCATGCTGGTGTCCCATCACTAGTGACTGATGCATCCCTTGGAAGCCACAATTCAGGGATTCCCCTCACCTGTGGTCAATGCATCCCCTGGGTGCAGGACATGGGCTGGAGGAGCCCCATGCCAGCAGGTCTCAGCCCCAGTCCAGGGATAGCATGGGTCACAGCGAGGTGGCTCAGGGTGCCCTTGCAGGTGGTCTCCCATGCAGGGGATAAATGGGATGGAAGCGGTTAACCTTGCAATTACCTTTGCCCAGGGAGGAGGGTGGCACATCCCTGCTGGTCTGGCTCTGCAAGGAGAGACAAGCAGGTACAAAGCAAGGGATTAGGAAGAGTCCCTGGAAAGGAAATCCACTGTGGCAGATAAATACAAATGAGGCACTCTGAGGGGTTTTGGTAATATTGAACAGGCTGTAAATAAACTGTAGGCTCTAAGCGTTATTGACAAATGAAAATTTACTGGGTACGTTCGAGCAAGCTAATGGGTTGCTTTAAACCCTGGCAGTGCCTTGCTAAGCATTTTGTATTGCGCTTTTTAATTTTGGTTCACTGTGGATTAATTCCTATTCAGAGCCAGGCAGCCCTGAGTCAACAGAATTAAATGGTTTAATGTATTTGGATTTAGAAGTGCTGCCCGCCCGCCCCCCCCCAATTTCTCTCCCTGTTCCTCCTCTGCCCCAGGAGTAAGCTCTTCATTAGAAATCAGCTGCAGCCAGGTGACAAGAGAAACTCCTCCCCCAAAATCACATTATCTCAGAGAAAAGCAGGGATTTTAGGGTAGATGAATTTATATGGGAGAGAAGGAAAGCAGAGCAAGCCCATGAGGTTTTGTAGAGCAGCTTCCTGATGGGGGGCAGGCAGCTCTTCTGGGGAACCCCCTCTAAAACCACCATGAGATGAGGGCAGAGCAGTGGGAGGGAGGAGGTGGCCACATTTCTCCCAGACTCCAGGTTTCCCTGAAGCACAGCAGGTCCCACAGGCACCTTCCCTCTACCTGCCCTGATATTCCCCCCCCCAATCCAAATTTTGCTCTCATTTTCCGATCCCACAAAAACAACTCAATATATTTTGCAGAGCACCAAAGACACAAGTAAATAAGCTTAATACTATAAAACATTCAATCAGGCAATCTAATTTCCTAGTAAAGAGCCAGGTGCATTCAGCCAGGAGCATGAAATATGCCATAAAGTGCATGAGCAGAGGCACCAGCAGAGCCAGAATCAGTCCCCAGAGGCTCTGCACTGTATCAGACAGATGCCCCAAGCCACACTCTCATAAATCCAGGTGCAGAGGCCACACTGAACCAAAAAAAGACCCAATCCTGAGAGCAGCCACACAGCAAAGGGCAGTCAGGCTCAAGTTGTCTTTAACACTTTCCTGCTGTTTTTTTAAAGATCCAAGTTGTGCCTTTTCTACCCCCAGAAAGAAGGAAGACAGAAACCTCATGCAGATAGAGCAGAGCATTAATTGCAGACACAGACATACCATCAGGGTTCAGAGCTGGGCTAATTGCCACCATACATTGAACACATGATTCCTGATGCCTGGCATCCACCCCTTAGAAAAAAACCAATACATCCACAGAAACGACAAGAGGATGATCCCTAATAAAAGAGTAAATGAGCAGCAGGAAGAGGGGGAAGGATAAAAGACATAACATTTGCTCAGCTCTCACACCCTACAAGCAAAGTCAAAGCTGCCCCTCAGAGGTCAGAGATGAGGCTCACTTTCTAAACATGGTGCCAGCTTATTAAAATTAAATTTCTGCTATACCCCCTCCCAAACCTGCATAGCAGCACCTCCAGAAAGAGCAAGGTAGCCAAGCTTGCCCCATTTATGCGTGGGTCAGCAGGGCGGCCCCAACCCCCAGCTGCAGCCCATCACTGCTGATAGAGAGGGGCCCCAGGGCTAACTCCAGAGGCAGGGAGTGCAAATGGGTGTACAGCTGAAGTCCTGCCAGTCATTTTTCAGCAAAAGCCTCTTTGCTGGCATTTTAAAAATAGGAGTTAATTCCAGGGAGAAATGTCTCCTGCTCTGTGGGGCTGTAAGGGAAGGGTAGGGGATGTTCTCTGGGGCTGGCTGTGCCTGTACAACCTCTCTGGTGGCTTCCAGGTGCTGTGCCAGGGGCTTGCGGTTTATAGCTGGACATTACAGTTTATCTCTGCAAAGCTCTCAGACCAGTTTTTGAGCGACTGCCAGTGGCAAAGCTGCTGGAAGGAGCATCGGACCATCATAGTGTCTCAGGCACTGGCTTCACCCACAGGCACCTGTTGGTGATGCCCTGGGGAGCCCCGAGGCCCCACTCCAAGCCGTCACAGCTCACACAGTCCCCGGCAGCACCACTGCATTAGAGGAGTGTCCTGAAGGCTGGGGGCTGCCAAGAGCCAAAGCAGCATCTGACAGGTTTCCAGCGTGGATCGTGTCTGCTCCCCAGTCCAGGAGCATCTGCGCTCCCATGGGAATAGCCTTTCCAGGGGAGGAAGGCTCCCTACTAGTGGAAACTGAGATTGCAACTGAGGCTGAGTAAACCCCATCAAACAGCAAATCTGGGCAGCTTTCTGCTTTTGGGGCTTGTGGGACTGAGGGAAGGATTATGGGTCTGCTGTTGGATTAAGCTGCTGGCAACCAGGCTCTGGCACCAAAGCGGATTGCATCTGCTGCTTAGGAAAAGCAACAAGTTTTCACAGGCAGGCAGCAGGGACTAGCAGCCTCCCTCCACAGCTCCTTTTGCTACCCTAAAAGCCTCAATAAAAACCAGGATTGTGTTGCTTTTTGGAAGCTTTTCACCATGTGTTTTTCAGGCAAAGGGCTCTTGCTTTGCTGGTGAGTGGTAGCTGATCCATCAGTGGTTAGTAACTGGATGCACCCCCAGCCCCGCCACCGCTGCTGGTGCTTTCTCTGGTTTCTGAGACATACCTGTGAAACAGCCTGACAGGAGGAGACTGCAGAGCTTTGCACCTCTTCGAGGGCACAGGCACAGTTGAGCAATAGGGAAGCCTTTGGGGAAAGGTTTGCTTTCACCCCACGTTGCTCTCTGTCTAATCCTACCACCATCAACTTACTGCTGAAGACAAACCCAGTACTGAGGGCAAATGATCCTGACCTGCCTGTGCCTTTCTAAGGCTCTTTTGGTTTCAAAGAGCAATTTCCCAGCATCGCTGTGACAGAATCAGAACAGTTATAAGACTCCAGTAAGACAGGCAGAAACCCCCAGTTCCACAATTCCCTTACTTAGCTGCACTTTAATCCCAAATTTCATGGTAGTCCCAAGAGCTTCTTCCTGCAAAATTTGATTGCATTCTGCAGCCAAGATCCCTCTTGCTGGCAGAAGCATGGTGACATTAACTTCAGCTTTTGATTAGTTAAGCAGCAAAGCAAAGTGTAGGAGACCTTGTGCTTTTTGAAGTAGCCTGTGATTACTTAAGACATTGATCATCAGGTGAGAACACATAAAGAGGGAGAATTGTTCATTTTCAGATCAGTGTGAATCTTTTAAATGCATCGAGTCCGAAGGATTGAAAATCAGCCCAGATTAAAATGGGCTGTGCCATTCCTAAGGGAGTGCTGCGGGATGGCTGGGAGGTTTGCCCCAGCCTTGGGATGCAGGCACATGCTGGGGGGCAGCACAGAGGGGGCAGGTTCCTGGACAGGAGGCTGGCCCAGTCCCTGTGTCACAGTATTATTTAGGAAGGCAGCATGTGGTCACTGCCCGCATTGTGCCTCCCATCCCGCCCTGCATCTCAGCCCACCTTTGGGATCGATGGTGCCCTGTTTTTCCCAGCTTGTGCAGGCTCTGAATGGCAAACAGCACTGTCATCCACGTCCGTATTGATTCCTCAGATTAATATTGATTAGCCTGGTGACATATAGGTAATGTGTAATTAGTAACTTAGATAAAAATAGCACCAAGAGGGTGTACAACCAGGCTGCCTGGGTACTCTGACCTTCGCTAGCATCTTCCTGGTGGCAGCAAATAGAGGGGTCATGGCTGCCTGATAATTGCTGGCCTGCTATTAAAAACACTGTGAAAGTCTCCCCTTCCCTGCTGCCA